AGAGAGAGAGAGAGAGAGAGAGAGAGAGAGAGAGAGAGAGAGAGAGAGAGAGATGGAAGGGTGGGAGAGAAAGGGTTAATCACAACCTAGGCATTCTTAACGTAAGTAAAACGTACCTGTTCTATGTAAGCCTGCTGTCTGCGTTTCCATAGAAACTCTACGACGCCCATCACCATCGCCACTATCGTGCCACCGAGGAGAGCGACGAAGACGCCACCTAGTGTGCTCGTATCTAAGCTGCTCGCTTCGTCTTTCTTCGTTTCGATGGCCTGACACTGTGTGCCTGCCTTCTCCTTCCACCATCTATCTTTGATTATGTGAAACTGTGATTCTTCGGTGAGGTTTAAGATGATGCTGGATAGTATGTCCCTCATGCGAGAATCTGTATTAGAAATACACTGTGACAAGTCTATAGTAATTATCAATACTATATATATCATTGCCAGCTAATGGTGTTTTTAATGCAAATAATCTGCTAGTCTAAATCTGTCCAATGACAAACACACACAAAAACAAGCAAACAATCAACCCACCAACAAAGAACAAACAAGCAAAGAGACATAAACAAACACATAAACAAACAAACAAATAAATAAACAAACAAACAAACAAACAAACAAACAAACAAACAAACAGACATTTCATCATACTTACTTCTCGGCGTGCCTATTCCGTATCCTTTAGAGTCTAGCAAGCCGCCCACCTGCTGAAGCGAACAGTCTCTCAGTATGTTATACTCCACCATAGTTGACTCCATGAGGTAGGCATACTTCTCCCTCCGCACCTTCTCCATGCCTGTCGTGCTCGAGTTAACGAACACGTCCGGGTTAGAGTTCATGAAAGCCCACATGCGCTCGTACGTCGGTATCTTGGACTCCTGGTGGCAAACGAACGTATATTATGTGTAAATATATACGTATATTACGTATATATGGAGAGAATCGTATATTAGCTGCTATATTCGTTCAGTGTTGGATTGTTCGCGTACGTTTAATGTAGGTAGCGTCAAATTCTATTTACGTACTCATATATTTAATTACTTATTTATTTATTCATGCATATTTTACCATCCTTATGTACCCTCCCTTTCCAGAGAGACCGCGCTTGCATGTAAACGACCACTGTGAATCATTTACGGACTACAAGCAACACTTGAGCAGACCAGTCAAAATTATTTCCCGCAAATGAATTGAATTGCCTCTAAAATGCAATGTCATTATTCTGTTAGCAGCGCAGCTTAAAACGAACGGCTAGTACATGGATGAATGTGGCGTAGCTACTATTAAGTTTAAACTGTAGATGGCAGTCTCGAGACGTGCATAAATACTTAACAGCCGCCAGGAGAGTACGAGCGCCATGTCGCCGATACTTAATAAGATCTATCGACGTAATATTAAATTGCGGCGACAATTCCGGAATATTCGCGAGTAAAACCATGTCTTTTCGAGCGAGAGCAAATAACGCCCCCCACCCACACACATATTTTACGTATAAATACCATGTATATATATATATACTACTACTACTACTACCACCATTACTCAACAGTGTTAGACGTATAAAGGGTAATCGTATATATACATATATATGTGTGTGTGTGTGTGTGTGTGTGTGTGTGTGTGTGTGTGTGTGTGTGTGTGTGTGTGTGTGTGTGTGTGTGTGTGTAGTGGTGTGCAGTATGTGTTGTGTAGTGTGTGTGTTTGTGTGTCGTTAATGTATGTGTGTGCTGTGTATATGTGTGTGTGTGTTGTGTGTTGTGTGTGTGTGTTGTGTGAGGTGTGTGGTGTGTGTGTGTGGTGTGTTGTGTGTGTGTGATGTGTGTGTGTTGTGTGTGTGTGTGTATGTATGGTGTGTGTGTGTGTGTGTGTGTTGTGCGTGCGTGCGTGTGTGTGTTGGTGTGTGGTGTGTGTGTGTTGTGTGTGTGTGTGTGTGGTGTGTGTACAACATAGGCAGCACGCCACGTGCGGTCACACTCACCCGGAAGAAGTTCTGCGTCGAACCGGAAGCCACGCATCCGTACTTGATGTCCGTCTGTCCGGCTAGGTCGTCTGCGTTCTCTATCGGCGTCACCATGCGAGCGACGGTGAGAAACGCCGCCAGGTTCGCTGTATACGACGAGATGATGACTAGAGTGAAGAACCACCAGATGCCGCTAGCGAGGCGCGTCGACGTCGCTCGCGGCATGATCTCGCATCCCTGCTGCATGAGCGAGCCGATGGTGAACCACAAGCTGTTCATCACCGTGAACTGATTCTCGATCAGATCCGAGTTGCGGTTGCACGGATGCGGATTGTACCACTCGTACGGCGAGAAGCGAGCGGAGCACGAACAGCAGCAGAGACACACCCAGGTAGGCTACAATGACGTACACCCACACGTCGAGCGCCAGGGGGCGCAGAAAGCCGAATAGTTCCGGGTCCTTCTGTTTGGGTTTCTTGAACAGGATACTGATGCCGAGAGTCATAAAGGGCTTCGTGAAGTCGACGTCGTCCTCTCGCTGTGCTGTTATCGTCAGCGGCGCCACGGCCAGGTCTGCCTTCTACAACACGACAACAACATCGTCGCAATCATAATCATAATCATAATCATAATCATAATCATAATCATAATCATAAACAAAACAGAATAATCATAAATCAAAACAGAAACATAATCATAATCATAACATAATCATAGAGTATTCTTCTCTTTTTTTCTTTTGGCTATTATAGATAATAATAATAATAAGAACAATTAGGACCATGCAAGCAATCAC